TCAATAGCACAGATACCTACCTACATTCATTATATTCCTTAAGATATTTAAGCTATTTATTTGTCTTAACAAAAAAGTCCTATTCCATTCATTGATATTTTCTTCGAGAATCATAACGGTTGTGATTTTTTTTATTATCCATTACTAAAAAATACTGTTACTCTTAGTACTACTACTACTCTAACATCTTATTGTACTAATTTCTTATGGCGTAGTGTACTGATACATCTATATGTCCACTTGTACGTGGAACTGTGATCTAGAGCTTTCGAAATCATAGATTTTACGTTGATATATATATATATATATATATATATATATATATATATATATACTATATAGTATTCTTAGAAATCTCAAGAAATGCATATATTTCTGTATATAATACAATCGATTTAACAAGAGGATATAATTGATCTCGTACATATGAAAGTCAATAGGAGATGATAACCTTGTGATAGACTGTAATCAATAGTAATGAATGAACATGATGTCTAAAGGATGTTTACACAGTTTATTATGTAACACATACAGTTCACTGACATTTGATATTTGATTCAGTAGTACTAAGAAGAAAAGAAATAGTAGTCGTTTGTTTCATGTTCCATGGGGGAATAGCAGTGTACAAATAACATCCCATTTTACAATTACGTCATAAATAGGAGAGAGAAAAAAAAGAGGAAAATTTACACTTCATTTACATTCTATGCAAAAATCGATGAACAAAAAAAAACACAGTCGAGAATTACCATCAACAATTTCAAAAAGATACATTTATCTTAATGTAGATAGATATGCAATAATAGGATTGTGAAGTGTAACGAATTTATCAACAGATTTATCTAATGATGAAATAAAAAGTACATGAATTATTATTTTTTTTCTAGCTTTTATAGAGATACTGATAATTTTGTTGCACCTCAATCTGTCTACCCACATTTAACTAACATCACTTTAAATGCAGGTATTATAATTAAACACACTCCGATTATCTTGCGGTAGAGTAGACCACACCCCATTCTGAAGAAATATTTAAAATAGAACTGAACTATTTAGCTTAATATTTTAATGATTAAACATACAGTTATGTATTAGCATAAATAATGGTATCCATTTTTTTTATGGTTATTTTAATGATGATGATGATGACCTTCTTGTTTATGTCAAGATCCATACTGAAAGATTGATAAAAATGAACTGACTACCTATTAACACACACATCTCCCTTAACTACTCTTTGAAACGCTTAACAATTTGCGTTGATTTTTGTTTTGCATGATTTTGCAATGAATTTGACTAGTTCTGATATTATCATCTAATTTGTATTTGCATTGAAATCACACTTCGTCATTGTCATCATGTCATTCATTTTCCATCATGATAAACTTACTTGATGGGCTTGAATCGCATTATCTGACTGAATTTGTTTTTATGTGCATTGAGGTTGCTTTTTCAGTGATAAAGCCTAAGTAAAGTTTATAGTCGTTTTTAGGTTGTTGTGGTATGGTACTGAGAGTGGATGAATATTACTAAGAACGTGTGCTAAAGAATTTAGAAAGAGAAAACAGTTGATTCAATGATTCAGTTAGTACATAAAATCCGATTACTTTGAATAATGAGAGCAAATAATAACAGTTAGCAATATCATCAGTACAAAACCAAGTTATTCTAGTCTCATTATCTCTAGTGGTGAATGCATTGAATACTTGAAGTGAAAGGTACCGGATCCATTCCTCAGTGGAAGGAGATAATCACTGGGCTATGTTACATGTACAACAAACCAGGGTTCTAATTAGAATGAAACACACCATGTGCATTCCAGTGCTACTCACATATCAAATGTACACTGAAAATTGTTAAAAAACAAATCACATCAAGGGAATTTATTTAGAATACATGTATAAGACAAAACAAGCCTAATTAATTTCTGTCCTGAATATTAACCTAATACGTTTTGAGTTTTGTATTGACGTTCTTTGTTCCTATTGGTTCGTGCGATCGGTATCTTTGACCATAAAAAATTTGACTGACTTTAGTCTTTTTGTAAATTAAGCTAATAATTGATTCAGTGATGTAATAAGCAGTAAGAGCTGCGAACAATTGATCAAGAAAACAAAATCTCATAAATAAGGTTTGGAAAAAAAAATATCGAACGCTTTTTATCTGCAACGATTTGTATTTTCCCGTAGCTGTCTTCAGAGTTCAAAGCGAAAAGTACTGATTTCGAGTCTTATTGTCAACGTCAACATTGAGATATGTAGGATGAGTTCTAAGTAGAACAAAGTACGCATCCAGAATTCTACTGTCACTCCATAGTTAATTTTAATAATTAAAGACATTTTAGTTGTAGCTTATTGTTGTATTATTATTCAGACAGTTTCATGTATAAATAGTCATGAAATTGTGTCATTTGTATTTCTGACTATTAATTATCACCAAATGATTGCATATCATATTTTATCAATGTTGTTATCATTGTGTTGTCATTCAATGTGTTGTATTGTCAATCCTCTTTCATGATTATTATTATTATTATATGTTTTTTCATTAAATTTTTTCATAAAAATCATTCTCATTGTGGAAAATGTAACATTAATCATTTTATTGTTTTGACATTCTTAATTTTCCTTTCTAAACAAACACACACACACACACACGAAAATCAAAACAAACACTTGGCTGTATTATACAAATGTATTTTGTGCATCAAATCTAATAATGTGTATATACATATAAATGTATGTATGTATGTATGTAAGGCTATGAGCATGAATGGTGGTAATTCTCTGTCTACACCACATCTTAATCCTCAGTCATCATCCTCATCATCTTCATCACCATCAATTACATTACTGAATCAAAATGCACAGCATCCAAATAAATCCATAACCACCACCATCACCACATCAACAACAACTAATACTACATTGATTACTAATGGTCCAACTAGAAGTGTCACATTAGCTGATGCTATTGCTGGCCTTGAATTATTAGATCAAATGCGTAAAGAACGCAGTATACAGCAGCAACAACAACAACAACAACAATCAAAGAATAATAAATTCTCTTCATCTATCATTACTGAGAATCCATATGAATTTGGACCAGATGAATATTCCACATTGTCTACAGTAGAAATGAATCGTTTAAATATTGACGGTGAAGTTAATTCATTGGAATCGGGCACAAAATTCAACCATCATCATCATCAACAACATCATCATAATCCACACCATCATCATCAACGACAAAAGATACAACCGATTGAAGAAACAAAACGGTTACGAAACGTGCCCACAGACAATGATAATGTAAATGTGAAAAACAATGAAGTGATTACCACAGAGAATAGTATCCCATCAAAGGTATACAAATATGTAATATCTATAAAAAAAAAACTATTCTGTTAAAGCTTGTCAGTCAGTGTTGCTTTTTTTTTGCTAGTTTATAATCAGTTTTGCTTGCTGGTTTTCTTCATGTGTTTATTATTATTATCATTGTTATTATTGTTATCATCACTTATATTACACTTCATTGGCTTATCATGTTGCACATGTTATGTATATTTGCATGATCTTAGCTTGCAGCATGCATTTTGTATGTAAGCAGATTGACGTATATACATATATCCTTATATATTTTTATGTTGCAAACCAATAGTTAACGATCCACAGTATTATAACTGTTAAATGTCAAGACTAAGTGGATTCATTCAATCAATGAGCAAGTCGTTGCGTCTTAGAGGTGAATAGTAGTGGTTTCAGTTCCCACATTGAACAATAAATACTGGGGTGTATGGCGTCATATGCATCTATTTGATGAGTTTCAGATAGAACGAAATTTGCATTCTATATTACACTCTTAGCTACATACGAAGAGTGTTAAACAAGAGGTAAGATTGTGTCACTAACGATAATGCTAGATCTGCGTGTTAGTGATCAATAAAAATTATCCTTTCAACATTGAAAATGGATATGTAAATTGTTACTGTACACTGTGAAAACACTGGATGTTTTTAGATTGTGGATTAATTTCCTTACCTTAAATGGTTGGTTATACAGCGAATATTTTGTATTGATTGATGTGATATGTTTAAATTCAATCTGTTTCCAGTTACATTTTTCAAGTGTGTGTTTGTGCACACACAATGAAAGAGTGTATAGCTAATTAGAAGTTTTTTCAAATTTATTAACGATAAGCAAGGTGTGGTCAAACTGAAATGTTGAACCAGTCCACGAAGTCGTCAACTTTTGGTCTTGGCCATATTGCTAAATAGAGACTGCGTGTGACCGTGACTAAAGACTTAAGGTGAACTGGCTCAGAGTCGGTCACAATGGTGTAGAAGTATTCACTCTATGATAGTATCGCTTCATGCATACCTTTACATTCTGTACATTCCAACTATATTCTTAAGATTTAGTTTTCTCTTTTATCATCTCGTCGAGCTAATGTAGTGTATCAGCTTGTACCAATGGACATCTGTGGCAGGCCTTATTTCGGTGATATCTGTTTGTCTGTCTAGTTTGTATCTACCGACAAGGCTCAGGTCATCAATCAATAACTTCATGAACTGACGTTATGCCTCAATTTGTTACCCGTTAACCTTCTTCCAACTGATCCCTACATCAGCAAACATTGATAATCGATGTAGGTGATGATTAGATATGTGTAAAAAAATGTTTCAGTCATCTCTTCTATTGAAGATTTATAACCCCATCGACTGATTTGATACTTTTTGACTAGTATCTTATATCTTAATCTTGACATTGTTCACTCGATCAGCTTATCCTATTTTAGTCTGCTTCATGAACATTATTTGCATATAATTTTACTATTTTGTCTTATAGCTTATATTAAATTAGATTCGGTGGTAGATTACATTTGACTATAAATTTTTTTTTCATGCTATCCTGTCCTGATAAGACACACAATTAGATATTCATTTAAATTTAAAATAATGAATGCTACACAATGGCTTAGGTTTGGAATTCATAGATTTATATCGATTGTAATTGTCAAAAATTTGCATTAGTTTGGCCTTTTATGATATTAGATTTTGTGTTTTTTTTTTTTTAATCGAATTGTGTGTGTGTGTGTGTGTGAGGATTTAATAACCTCCACCAGTATATTCGATGGAATGTAAAATGCATTTCAATAAAATTTTGTTTGTGTTCATTATATGCACCATAGTTTCTGTGATATTTATTTACTTTAAATTTGGTCATATTTATTATAATAGTTTGATGAACAACTACTAATTCGTATAATTTGCTTGCTTAATTACTTTTTACTTAACTACACACTTTTGAAAACATGAATCGATCAATGTTAGACCACCATTAGAAACCTGGAAGCACTGGACGGCCGTCAAGTCCTGGTATGGGACTCCTCAGCAGTGCGCATCCACGACTCCTGCACCCCGCAGGACTCGAACCCAGGACCTTCGGTATTGTGCGCGAACGCCCTAACCGATAGACCACTGAGCCGGTATCTAACAGTGTTAATGTCTAACTTGATCATATTCACGGAGTTGCGCAACCTCATACACAGTCTTCGGTAGTTACTGTCTACACCCGAACAGGTTGAACTTCACTGGTCACGTCTTCCCACTAGAACTCGGAGAAGATTCCTCACGAAGCTAGTCACTAGTGAGCACAGGTGCAGGAGTGCACTGGAAGGTCGTTTCGTCCTGGTATGGGACTCCTCAGCGCAACTCCGTGAATTTGATCAAGTTAGACTTTAACACCGTTAGATACCGGCTCAATGGTCTAACGGTTAGGGCGTTCGCGCACAATACCGAAGGTCCTGGGTCCGAATTCTGCGGGGTGCAGGAGTCGTGTATGCGCACTGCTGAGGAGTCCCATACCAGGACTTGACGGCCGTCCAGTGCTTCCAGGTTTCTAATGGTGGTCTAACATTGATCGATTCATGGTTTCAAAAATGTGTAACTTAACAATCTTCACAACCCCGTAATGTTTTTACTTAACTGACTGATTAAATAAGTCAATGATGAAAGGCCATTATCCCAATACTTCTTGGAGAGCTGACAACTTTATCAATAGAAAAAGTTAAGAATAAAGTAGGCTGATACATCGTAGATAAGATTCCTTTGCAAAGTTTCATGTCTACAATCAATAACATGTAAACTATGTGGTTTTTAGGGTATTGGGTAGTTCGAGGCAGTTGACCAGAAGCGTTGGCCTAAGTTTCATTGTAGTTAATGCTCGTCAGCATGAAATATATTCATTTTCACTGAGACTGATGCACTCTTTAGGATTCGAACTTGTGACATTCAGTGTCACGATATAAGATTTTTTCTATTGATCTGTTAAAGTGAGCATTTATTCGTTATATGTGTCTCTAATACTCAAAGTTGATTAAATTCTCTATTCACATTTTATTATGACAAACTCAGTATACTACTATTTCCAGTAGTTTTGACAAAACACTAGTAAGTTTATGACAGTTTAAAAAGTTATCACAATAAAATGACAACACTTGTTTCTTTTAATTACTAGCTATGCTTATTTATATCTTCCCTATTCTGATACACTTTAATATCGTTTTCAAATCAAAGACATTTAAACAATTTTGTGTAGGCTGTGTTTTTTATTGTTTATTGCGATTATTATTATTTTATTTGTTTGGTTTGTTGTCTAGTGTATTAGCTTACTCCGAATAACATTTGCATAAGATTATTTATATTGTGTTTGGTAAGTTCAAACCGTTTTATCGTAAACAATCGGATTCAAGAATCTGATATCATGGGTGGTTCGTCTTTTTAGTAGAGGAAAAAAAACAAGAATAACATGTTTTTACATTTTCCCTTATCTAATAATCATATTCATGTCTTCATCATGCTCAGAGTCAGGTGGGATGCGTTTTCGAGCATCCATCAGTTCGGTGGATGCGACTGAAATCCACGGCTTCATCCTAGCCTCATGGTTTACCTTCCTAGCAGATATCACTGCTGTTTCCACAGCCTTTTTGATATCGTTGGTTAGAGACCTTGAATGACATGGCTCAAAATCGTTCGCAATGGCGCCGGTGCATTTATTCTCTGTGTTCTCTCAAATCCTAATCTTCTGCATTCTTCAATACCTCTAGTTTCGACTCTCTAAATTTTTCTCACTGAATCATACTTCTTAAATAGTATCTTCTAATCCTAACCTCTCCGATTACTTCTAATTCCCTTACTACCTCTTCTACTATTGGATTTGAATTGACGATTACTTCTCTGTGCTGATGTGGTATGGCAACATGAACTGATGTACTTACGTACGAAGTTCTACGTTGCATCTGACTGACTGACTGATTCATGTCTTATTGATGCGTTCGTGTAATTACATGATCAAGATCATGAAACATTTTCCAATGACGTTTGCGCCTGATATATCATGTGTGTAACATCAGTAAATAATTCAACAAGATTACGTAATAGTAATCGATTAGTGAAAATATTCGAATCTCACAACATCAGTATTGTGGTATGATGAATCAAAATAAATTAGAATCAAGACACGGATGATGGGGGTGAATGTTTAGTTATGAAAATGATGGAAGTGTACACTATGAAATTTATGCACAAACAATAGTGTGAAATAAATGCATCTGCTTTTTTTCTGTTATGATGTAATTTGAATCAGTCTGATCAACATTTGTAACTTTTAATCTTTTATTATTCTTATGAGCCTACCCCCTCCCACTTTTCTAAACTATTGAAGAAACAATACAACAACGCTACATACGTCATAGAACAGCTGAATAATTTCAAGGACTTTTCAGGAATAATAATAATAATAGTAATAATAGAACATCATTGATATGTTGTTGTTGTTAATCTTTTAAGAAAGAAATTGTTTATCAAAATTTTAAGAATATTTCAAGTTAAAAATAGACAAAAGAAAATTATGCTTTTCTCTTCAAAGAATCATTCTTAGCTTTGATTTTTAACAAAAAGAAAATAAATTTAATGAATATATCATCAATGGGAATGAGTAATTAGTTGAGTTGTTAGTAGCTCTTTTGACTAATATGCTTTGGTGTGACGGTCAATAAATAGAATCTATGCATACCTTGATATTTGTAAGTTCTCTTAATATTCAAGAAATTTTCGATTGTTACATATATGTTGATGAGTAATATGTAACAAAATTTTATTTTTACTCTGTATATGGTAATAAATATTTGAATCGATGAATGTTTTTTGTACAATCAATAATCTTGATTGATAAATCACATTTGAAAAAAACACTGGTCATTATTTATTTGACTGTATAAATTATCTTTTGGTTGACTGTATATACAGTTTATATATTATATATATATATATATATATATATATATATATATTTGAAACCATGAATCGATCAATGTTAGACCACCATTAGAAACCTGGAAGCACTGGACGGCCGTTTCGGCCTGGTATGGGACTCCTCAGCAGTGCGCATTGACGACTCCTGCACCCCACAGAATTCGAACCCAGGACCTTCGGTATTGTGCGCGAACGCCCTAACCGTTATACCACTGAGCCGGTATCTAACGGTGTTAAAGTCTAACTTGATCAAATTCACGGAGTTGCGCTGAGGAGTCCCATACCAGGACGAAACGGCCGTCCAGTGCTTCCAGGTTTCGAATGGTGGTCTAATATTGATCGATTAATGGTTTCAAAAATCTTTATATATATATATATATATATATATATATATATATATATATATATTATATACAAGCATATGAAATCATCGAAATTTACTGCTTAGGCGGATGCTTTTGATTGCGTTGTGTTCTGTTAATCGAGTGGTATTTTTTCACGAAACTTTATTTATCATTCTGAACAACCTCGTTAACGCTTTCTTCACATAGAAGTCAGGTATTTTTTTATCATTCTATAAGTGTTAAGTCTACCAGTTCGTGTGATCTTGTTGGTAAATCGTCGTTTTCTTCAGAGGATTGTTTTTGAGGTTCAGTTAGTTAGTTCTCTTAGAAATCAAGTCGTTTAGGAAAGTACGGACTTAAAAAATTTGTGATTATTACCATCATGCCTGTGAACTGATTTGCATTTTGCATTCATTCTTCGCAAATGATATTCTCATTATTTATTTATAATCATGGGAAAAAAAAATTTCTTTCTCTCTTCTCTACTTAAAGATAAGATCTAGAGATTTAACTAGTTTGTTTTGTTAATTCATATCTAGAAGTAATGTATCCTAGATTATTAGATTCTGCCATACAATGTTATACTGTGTGTAATTTGACCTGAATATACAAGCGCTTTTTCTCTTAAACACAAAGAATGTTTTTCGTTTACATCATAATAGCTGAAGTCGATATTTTATTTATTTTCTCCCATAAACTGAGAAGAAAAGATGATGATTAATCTTCATGATTTATAATCAACTAATTGAATAGCTTTTTTGTTCTAATATAGCACTGTTCAGCATTGACTATCTGTCTACAACCCCACAGGAGATTACAACTCAGAATATTTTGATCATACTATTATTATTATTTAAGCTTTAGACTACTGATATGACATTCGGTGATATACATCCCTAAATTTAATCGACCTCTGCCTGTGTTATGTGTAATTCACGATATTACTCATTCCTCAATCACTACTTATGATCTAACACAATGACGTGGTTGTACCACCACTAGTCATTGGTTAATTTAAGTTTTTCACTATAATAAACCCTTTGTTAGAATCGTTCACATTCATTCTTATTAAAGTGTATTGCTAGTACAACTTTATAAGTTACAATATTTATGTTTGTCTACTGAACCACGCAGTTTTCGATTTCATATTAAGATATTTACGACTAACAACACTTGAGAAAGAATAATTTTTCAACAATTGAAATGCTTAAATAGTTAGTTATTAACAATAAACAACTAATTTTGCTGCGAATACATTTCATAATTATGCATGTGCATGCAATCTGCTCGATTATATTTGGAATGTAATTAAAACAAAGGTTTAATACTTTTTAAAAGAAAAATAAAATTTGTAATAATTTTGAAATTGGTAAACATATTGAGAATGTTATTGAATGCAAAATTTGCTAATGTTTTTCATTTCTCTATTGGTTTGATATTTTTTACCGTTGTCTATTTTGCATTAATGGTTTGTAGTTGTAATTTACTGAATAAAGATTTCAGTATACTGAAAGATTACTCCGATATTACTTACTACGCCTGTTATCCGTAATGAACCATAGGCCCTCGACCAGCATTCCCCGACCTACTCTGTCCTAGGCCTCCTTTTCTTTTTCTACCCAATTACTGTTGATTCTTTTCGTGTCTGCTTCTGATTCTCAACTTAATGTGTTGTTTGGTCCTCGTCTTCGCCTTTGGACTAGAGGATTCCATGTTAGGTCTTTTTTGAGCGCTTCACACCTTCAACATTACTCCAATATATTTAACTTCATTGTCATCAAATATAAATGAATTTAATTAATATTTTTTTATATTGTAATGTAAAAATTTCCGATTGATGTTGACTGTTTTTTCTCGATACATAAAAAAACAATAGTCTTATTAGTTGGTTGTAGTAGTGATCTGTTAGATATTTTCAAGGTAAATTCATTGAAGTTCTTGTAGGTTTATCTGAATCAGTGTCAAACCGTAACATTTTAAGCTTCACATAAAGAAAAAGAGCATACCAATAGGTAGATATTTCCTAGCTGAGGTTACAACGAATCCTCTAATCCACGGTTGAATTCATTGCTTATGATGGTTCAAAATCGGCTGCAATAGTATGGTCACATACTTAAGTACCTAATTTAGGTATTGTTATGTTTGTGACTAGAACGACTAATACACAATTCAGCCTTTGGCACTTGGACAAATAGAATTGCCCCGTTGTTCGCAAAACAGAATCTAGAGAAGACAGAAGGAATCTTTATTGTAGCAAGTGTCATATGTATACAGAGAAACTGTGAGTTCTTATAGTTTTCTGGACAAAGTGGAAACAATGAATAAAATCAATCACTCCTTAATGAGCGATGTAGCGTCAACATCCAACCGACCTTATACCGCATTAACATTCCGTATATTTGGATGGAAGTGCTTTGGCTTCTTGGGAGCCCCTGGAGGCTTATTTGAGCCATCCCAAACATGCATGATTCCTGCAATCTCTTCCTTTAGTCCCATTTTTATGCTTATGAAATCGATTTCTTTTACAATTATATTTCGTTAACCTCATATGTGGTACATTTGCCCTCTTATTGCAGTGTAACATTAAACTATATCCATTTGAATTCAATGTCAGGTCCTTCCGTTGATGGCAATTAAGCTTCAAATTATCATCATTGAGAGTGACTGAAACTTTACTGAATTAATTAGTGATCAATGATCAAAAAATTTATGATTATTTTTTAATAACAACAATATTATTGTCTGTAATCAACGAAATATTGGTATAGTAACTAAAATATTATATATATATATATATATATATATATATATATATATATATATATTACAGAGACGGCCAATTCGATTATATTTCAAATACCTCGATTTTGCCTTTAGATCGAAATTTCGATTTAATAAATTTAAAGCTTTCTTTGAGAATTATTTCTCCTATCTAGATCAAATTCACATGGTTTCATTTATTGCGTGATTAATTCCACTTGGTAACTGTTTCACAATTCATTTTGTTTTTTGCATTTTCTTTGTTCATTCATTGTTTTCCGCCTTTTATCATGAGCGTATTTTTTTTCTGTCTTTTGCTAATCTATAAACTCGTATTTTGCCAAGTTTTTTTTATTGTTGGTTGAGAAAAAAAAGATTTCTATTTGGCTGATGGTTGGTTGTTATTGCTTTTTAATCAATGATACATTTTCTTGCATTTTGATCTCGTTTACATCACCTTTTTTGCATCCCGTTAATTTCTCATCTTATTTTAAACCTGGATATTATATCTGTGATATTTATATTACTTATATTGATGTAGGATGTCGTTCATTTAAGTAATATTCATTTAAATTATAGTTCAACATTTTTATCTCTAATTAATTGAATATGAGTAAAATATCTGTATCGGTCACTATTCGTAAATAATCAATACTGTAATAATATCAGTAGGCTTAAATGATTCCGTTGTTCATACTGAGGACTGAGTGTCGATCAATTTTCATTAGCATACGTAGATCCGATGTGTAGTATTTCGCTTTTATAAACGCCAACAAAAACTATTCAATATTCATCAATTCTGATTATAAACAACGGGATATCTCGAATGCTTATTCATAAAGACATGAAAATCATACTCAGTGAACAAGTTACTGGCTATCTGACTCAGTATAACACGCTATGGATAGTTCAAGATAACTGTCAGTTATTTCCTTATCTCCCATATATAAATCAAGAGTAGTCACATATCACTTTGTCTAATAATTAGATCAAATTTAACCAAAACTGAAATGAGAATCAGCAGGCGAAACTAAATGTCTTCTATTGGCCAATATTTCTTATGTCTAATTTGATTTTCTGGCAACTTAATCAGTAGTTGATGTCTTCTTCTTCGAACGACATAACGAAAGAGAAACAAGGAAGATTAGTTCAGTGAAGAACAGTTCATCCTCAAAGCTGCACAAAATGATAATCAGTTTACTGAGCAATAGTAAAATAAAAATCATAGAAAACAAATATTGTTCTGATTAAGAATCCGAATTTCTGCCTGTTACATAACATGAATATTCATCAAGTATATCATAAAAATCTAGTTATTAAGGATTTTAAAAGAAGTGGTTTACTGCAAGTATTTAAGGTCAATAATTAAAGAAGAGAAGCAAAATGGTAATAACTTTAGGTAAATTAAAGTTTAAAGGCGAAATGTAACAAGATTTTCAATTTAAAGGCCCAATTCTAAATTTTCTTAATGGTTTTAGCAATGTTGAACATTCACCAAACCAATCTATTCTACCGATACGTTTCATTGTGAGATACATAGAGTTGTGATTATTAAAATATAATCTCTTTATTAATAGTTTTAAAATTTATTACCCATTACTGCACTAAATTTAAATTGTACGTAGGGGTAATTAAAAAAAAGGCTGTAATTGTTTGTTGTTATTGTATTCATTTAATTAATTAATTAATTAATGAACTGGCTACAGAGAGATTCAGTGTGCTTTAATTTGTTTATTTTAGTTTTAACAAAGAACTTCAATAAAATTAAAACCGCTAATTCAACTAGTTTCTTCTTTTTTCTTCTTGTTGTTGTTACTAAACCAGGTTAACAATGGTGGTGGTTTAGTTACATCGGATGATTTATTACAAAATAATGTCATTAATCAACCACTTCGACCTGTATCACAATTACAATATCATTTACCTGTTGCTACACCTACTGGTTCTGGTGGTCCTCCACCATCATTACCGATGAGTGCAGCAAATACAGCGAACAATGTAGCATTACCTTCAACAGCACAAGAATTAATGAATACTACTAGTAATATGTATTTAAGAAATAGTTATCGTACTAATAATCTACCAACTTGTACCAGTGGTATTGGCTATCCACATGGGTAAGTGATTGATATATGTAAATGTTACTTCTTAGTTTTTCAATATTTTATTTAAATCTTTCTCAATCTTAATATTTCCTCACAATCAATATTATCTGCTGTTAGCGAAAGTTGCATAAAAACTTGTTTGGTAAACTAGTATGTGTATCATCCTATGATTCTGTAATCAGTATTATTGTGTTAAAGGAGCTGTGTTTTAATGATTCGTGAATTTGACTTTCAACCAATGCATTTGAAGTGCGATTGCATGTCCTCTTAAGTTTGAACATTTGGATTTTTCCATTAGCCTGTGTGAAGATTGTAGTTCAAATCCATCATCTCCTACACCTGTTTGGAAGGTTTGTTTGACTTTTTCCAACTTGTGTCATTCGTGATGCAGGCGAGATATTTGCCTGCCAACCAAAGGTTGAGTGTACTTCACATTAGTTTTTTCTGTTGTACCTCACAGGTGGAAATATGTGTCATCTAAAAATGAAGTATATTCGTAAGCTAGCAGTACTTGATCAAATATACCCTCGAAGGTTTACCGATAACATCAATTATGAGCTTAGACATAGATTATTAAACAAACAGCAAGTCGATTGGTGAGGTCGTATATGCTTACCAATCGAGGCGTTTGGGACATTTATTACGAAAGTCTAACTACTACCTACCTCAACATGTGATGCATTTTGGAGTAGTAGTAAGTTGTAAGAAATCTTGCGACAGTCAAACCAAAGCTCGAAGTCTGTCCATGAAGTCACTAACTGTTGGTTTGAACTATGTGGTTAGGTTCAGACTACCTTGTATGAATCGACGTGTTTACCGGAAGTAAATGATTGGAAACGTTGTGTAACATTGTCTCGGAATCGATCGTCGTGGCATAGGTGCATCTCTTATATTTCTTCTTTCAGATCTTGAAATTATAATCTACCTTTTATTTCATGAATTCATTATTTTTTCTTGAATGATATTTTCTACACTCAGTGTGTTTTAATATCACTGACAATGTTACTATTTTTACGATTACGGTATTTATATTGATAATTTCATTCTATTATGATGATTTGGTGTAGTAGCTTGAACCTTTGTAGTTTTGTGTTACGTTTTACATTTCTTGTGACTTATTGACAAAGACCTATTTAGACTTGGTTATTGAGTTGCGAAAAGTAGTTTCAGTGATCATAATAAACAAAGGTTTTGACAAAATCACTATGAAAGAATCATTTGAATTAGAAGTTCACAAATTACTGGTACAGTTTTCCTCTCCTTTAGGATATGTTACAATTTGTTTAGAAAGCATTTTTTGTTGTAAATCCTGTTGAATGACATACTTACCTACTTACGTCTGTTACCCCCAATGGAGTATAGGCTGCCGACCAGTGTTCTCCAACCTACTCTGTCCTGCTTTTTAATGAACGTTGTATAATATTCCATCATTTATTCAATTTTATTATAAATATTTAAAATTTATGTAAAAAAAATTGTTAGTCCTACTTTAAAATTGTACTTTGTTGCTTACTTTGAAAAAAAAAAAAACACTAGTTCTGATGGTTTATTGAATGGAAAATCTGACAGTTCCCTATCGAAATCAACTACACAAGTATCAGTAGCAGCAGTGGCTAAATCATTGGTTCTACCTGGATCGAAACAACAATTGCCTAACTATCAAGAATCCAATTTACCTTCTACTACTACAACTACAACTACTACTACTAATAATAATACATCATTAATTCGTAAATTATCAGCTCCTATAGGACCACCACCATCTAATTTGTCAAATCATACTGCTACCACTATACATCTACGCAGAGGATATAGTTTAAATAAACCTAAAATGGATGGTGATCATGATAAACATGCTGAAGATGGTACTGTTGACAATAATTGTATTATCATTAAAGAGACTGTTAGCGATGATGATTTAAATCATACAACTTTTCGGCATTCTTCCATCAATACACTCACTGATGATCATGTACCATCATCAAGGTAGACATAAATATGAATATAGAGAGAGATAGTGAAATGAAATTGCCTTGTGTTAATTAATTTGCATGTAGTTTTTACATAGAGATGCATGTATTGTTTATGGATTTGTTTTTTAAGTGAGGTAATGTGTTTGGGTAAAGTATTCTTGAATATGCATCGTTTTTTGTTAGGTTTTATAGGCTCTTAAGTTTGTGTTTGCAAGATGAACACTCTGTTCATCTAATGGTGAAAACTTTGACTGCTTGCCTTTTTATCATAATTTTTAATGGTTCAAATGATCTCCTTATTTATACGGTAAATGAAGTTTGATCAGTCTTGGTTGTTAGATGTCCATCCTGTGCGAATTGCCTTGATATTAGAGCTATTATGACACATGTTTATACAGAATAAAAGAGGAATATGACTAGCAATAGAGTTCAGGACGCTTGTTTTGTCTTATTTTAGAGTTATCAGCTGGGTGTATTTACATCTCAAAATTCATATTTTTATCGGGGTGGAGGATAAAACACGCGTTCTGAATTCTATTGCTATCCCATATTGCATCTGTTCTATATAAACTTGTTTACTTGCTTGTCTTGTATATATTTGCTTTGTATGCAAACTGAATATAATAACAGCGGCATAATCAGATAAGCTAAGCTTTTTCTTTTGAAATCAGCATGAAATCTATAACAAATATATATGTAATTTTATATGAAGAAAAATTATCAACACATATGATGTTTCTTTATTTATTTTTTTCTTCCTTAGTTCTTTATCAGCTATCTCAGTAGATAGTCCTGAAGAAGAAGGCTCTTCTGTCGCTTCGGATTCATTAGTTTGTAATCAAGTAATCGAAGGTCAACCATCAGTTCAACAACAACAACAACAACAACAACAATTAATCCCATTTACATCAGCACAAAATATCCCATTAATGAATAAACAGTTTTATCAACAGCACCACCAACAACAACAACTACAACAATTTAGACAACAGTCAGTGTCAGATCAATCAATGACATTGACTCAACAACCACCCTATCAACGAGAGTATGAACAACAACAACATCAGCAACAACAACAACAACAACAAATTCAACAACTACAATTTGCTCATTCAACAAGACCTCATTTACAAATGAATTCTATGCCAATGTATCATCATCAACCTGTAGCCTTGTATCAAAATCGTTTACGTCCAATTGGACCTAGAAATCAATCATATAACATTATTGATAGTCAACAGCATCAACAACACCAACAACAACAAATGAATTCAATGTCTCGATTAGATCCAACACAATCATTTTTTTCACCTACACCATCACCTACACCAAGTAAGAAAAAATCACGTATGTTATCAGGTACATTTGGTCGATTATTTCGACGTAATCAATCAAGTAATATTACTGGAAGTGGTGGTGGTGTTGGTGTTGTCAGTGGACCACTTGATATGGTACAATATCCACAAAATTATTATCCTATACCAAATCATGTTAATCAATCAATGCGAATATCAGCTTCTCCACCAATACGCCTTGGTTCACCTATGATACATACATCAGTTACTAATAATGTCAATAATAATGCCAATAACAATAATAATATTCGATATTCTATGCAACAACAACAACAACAACAACAACAACCTTTAAGTCCACAACCAATAGTTGTCGGTTCAGGACATCAACCATTGTCTTTACCACCACCGCCTCCAGTACAATATCATCCTTCGATGTCTAATCAAGCACAAATGATGCAACAACAACAACAACAACAACTCCTTACGGAACAACAACAACAACAACAACAACAACAGATGTATCAGTTTAGGCAACGACAACAAGGCTTAGAATATGGTATGAATTATTTTTTTCTTTTCTTCAGTTTTTATTATTCTAATTCTTATTTACAATGATGATGGTAGACTACTACTATTATGAGAAATATAAATATTCTATTGAGATGATAAACTAATGGCACCTGAACTAGTGATAGGGAGTGAAGTAGTCGAGCGTGTAGACCGCTTCACTTATCGCGGGAGTCTCATT